CCCCTGCACCACATTTTTTGATGGCATGTTCAAACTTATTTTGTCTCTATTATAATAAAGTCAATACTTCAATTTTCTTAACATTTGGATGGAAAAAAACACAAATAGGAAGGAAAAGAAAGACTTCAATCCACATGAAAATTATGGAATCAAATGTTTAAGATTTCAAAAATGAGTTTAATAATCCTAGGCTACAATTACTCATTGAATTATTGGTTTTGGTTAAATATTTCATGTATGAACCTCCGTGTTGCACGCAATTAAATTCTCTTTTTCATACACTCCCTCGATTTGTTTGACATATATTTTTTTCCACAATGATTTTTTTTTTTTTTTGCTTTTTTAATACTCTATCCGTCAATCTTTAATTGTCCATTCTATTTAAAATAATTGTCCGACAATAGTTGTTCAATTTGAAAATCAAGAGATAATTTAGCACTTTGTGTCTAGTTTTTCCTTGGTATCAAGTACTATTCAATATCTAATACATTTTTCAAAGTATTAAATTTAATATATTTAAAGGATAATATAGTAACACTATCTCTATTATTTATTGTTTCTTAAGGTGTGTGCCAAGTCAATAGCATAATACATAAACGTGTCATTTAACTTGGCTTCAACTGACATGATGCCCTCCAACTTTGGGTGTGCACAAGTAGATACTTTAACTTGTATAAAATATTAATTGAATAAATAGACACATGTATCCTATGTAGCATCCTACATGACGATTTGTGTCCTATGTGAAGTCTTGCATGCATTATGTCACGTAGGACGCATGTGTCTACTTGTTCAATTATATGCAAGTTTAAGTATTTAGTTGTGCACAACCAAATTTAGAAGACATAGATGTCAACTGAAACCAAGTTAAAAGATATATTTGTATTATGTCCAAGACAATACTGGACAACTATAGTTGGACAGAGAGAGTATCTCTTTAGTTTCTATTTTTCGTATTACATGTTTAAAATTATAAGATATTTTACTACATTTGACATATCTTTAATTTATGACTGTAAAAATATGATATCTAAGTCTAACTCAACCCCAAAAGTTAGCTCATGTTGAGAGGATTGCTCAAGTCTATATAAGCAGAATGACGTCTGCTGGTCCATCCCCAATCAATTACGTGAGACTTTTTACACACTCTGACAAAGACCATAGGATTTAAATTATTTATTTATTTATTTAATTTCATATTAAATAAAAATAAGTCAAACAATTGAACCAAATGAATTATTATATCTATTTGGTGAGGGAAGTAGAGCAGTCAAGTTCACAAAAGGTCACTTAAACGTCATAAATAGTTCACTCGTGAATTTATCATCATTATTAATAATGAAATAAATATCCTTTTTCTTTGATCACGAGCTATATATCACAAGTTGATCACAAAATTATTTGAACCAAAATTGATTAAATCAACTAAATCCGTTGATGATTAAAAGTAGCCCCTAATTAAATTATGTCGGTTCTATACTGGATTAAGTCCAAGTGGAGCACTCAACTTCCTAAGACATATACACACGACAGAATATGTAGATTTTAGCTTAGCAAATTATTAATTAATTAATATGTAGGGTGCTCATCACATGGATGGTTTGGAGGGTGGGCCACGGATAATTCGAGATATATCCTCCCTCAATGTCTTCAGAATCGAGTCTGTCACACGAGATTTACACTGTGAGAAATTTATCCAATGCGCACAAAGTGCTCACCATAGAGTGTTCATTCGAAGGACAGAGGTTGTGACAAAAATTATAGCGGCTACAGATTATTTTGGATTTTTTTTTAAAAAAAAGTTATTAATGTGTATATGCAGTAATTAACTACTTGCAACAAATATTAAAGTGACAGAAAATAAATTACAATCACAATAAAATAAGAAGAAACATAACTTTATTGATAAATATTGCTGGTACAATTCTGTTCCTCCCTTGATTCTACTCTCCTAAGATTTGTCCATGATTCGAGGGACGTTAGTGGCGTATTTCTCGAACTAGGATGATTTAGATTTGACCTCTATATGAATATTCCATCAATTTACGGAATATTCGAGATGCCTTTTAAGGAAATTTAGTACCCTTTATATAGGCATGAACTAGGGTTTAGGGTTGAGTAGCCTCTAAGAACTCTAATTGAAATTGAACACACCTTCTAGAGCCTCAATTCGAATTGAACACGTCTTGTAGAGTCCCACAAAATTTTAATGTCTACAAGTACCTCCACAACTAATTAAAGTATTAAACACCGTTTTAATTACAGTATCATATCTAAAATTAAGTAAATGTCATGCTTACGTTTGTAAGACATGAGAGTTCAGACATAAGTAGCTCAATTTTGTTTCAAGAGGTAAGGTTAACTTTCTAAGCTAAAATCTACATAACTCTAGTCTATATAAAACTAATAATATAATTACTTCCTCCATTTTAAATTATTTGACGTATTTTTTAAAAATATTTGTCTCATATTATTTTTTTATTCATTTTTAATTGTCAGGAAAATATAAAAAAAAATTATGTTATACATAACATTACTTATTTATCCTCCAAATGATCATTCTGAGACCTGACTAAGATTACATATTAATTAATATGAGTATTGTAGTAAAATACTTATATTAATTATTGTTCTTATATAAGAGGCTTTCAAAGTTCAAAGTGTATATGTAAAAGTGGAAGGAGAGAGTACTTGTTATTGTAGAAGTTCAAGACATAATTAATTACTCAAGAATACTCAACTCAAAGATACTCAATTTAAAGATACTCAACTAAAAGATACTTGACTCAACTCAAGGATACTCAACTCAAAGATACCCAACTCAACTCAAAGATAAAGCAACAATAAAAAATGCAATATATGGAAAACCATTAAAACAGGAGATAATAACTCAATTGTATGTAAAAATACAATAATAACTCAATTGTATGTAAGAATACAATAATAACTCTTATTTGGGAGATTCTTTAACCGACAACCATCACTATGAGCTACGTGATGAGATACTGTCTCGCCCACGCTGCCAGAACTGTCCTATACCTTGCCGGAGTATAATACATTCTCAACTAAGTCGATCCATTAAGTTATGCTTAAAAAGTACTAAGGAATCATCTAAAAAGTATGACCCTTTACCCATGTTGGCATACATGATTTATTGAGGACTTTGAGTTGTCTGAACTCGTCCCCCATATCGGTGCTCAATACTATTCTCAATAATATAACTCATGATCATATGTTTAAAAACATTTCCACATCCTCATACTTTGAGATTATTACTCAAAAGATTCTCTTAAAAGAGACTATGCTCAAAACTCCTCATGAACTCATTTGGAAATTAAGTTTTCCTCTCGTGTTGAATGTAAAAGTATATACTCTTGGAAATACTTAGTTCCCTTATAATCATTTTGAAAAATGAGACTTGACTTTCCTCATCCTCATACTCATTTACTCATGTCTTTAAATAAATTATAAATAATTGAAAAAACATTTTCAAAATAGGATTCATGCTGAATTATAGACGTGAACGACTCAATTCAAGGGTTTCAATAACCATATATAGAACTCAATACTCGGAACTCAATAACTCAAAAACTCAAAGACTCGATGATACTACTCATGTCAAGAATGCTCGACTCATAGGGTTCATGTAGAATTATGGGAATGAACGACTCAACTCTAGGACCTTCATGAATAACATATAGACTTCTCATAATTAGGAATATAGTTTCAAAAAGGATTAGATACTCAATACTCAAGAAATTGGAACTCGAAGATACTATTCATCTCAAGAACATTCAATTCATAGAGTTCATGTGAAATTATGGACATGAATGACTCAACTCAAGGGTCTAAATGACAATATAGAACTCATAGGTACAACTCTTCTCACTCTCATGGTTACTTCCTCAAAACTTAGCTCAAAGCTATAGTTAATTTCAAAGGAATTCTCACCTTGACTCAACGACTTTCTCAAAAGGGGACTCAAAGGTTTTCTCAAACTTTACTCTTAATCTTTACTCTAATTTGAAAAGTGAAATTAAGAGACATGTTTAGGATATATGAATGATCTCTCAATGATTTATGAAGGTTTAGATAATTAGGATTAAGAAGAAAATGAAAGCTCGATTCAAAGGAACAAGTACGGATCGAAGAACGGAGAAGAAGGTGGCCTGACGCTTCAGCAGCGCCGCGTCAGGCCTTCATTTACTGGGGGTTTGATTGGGCGCACTGCTGGTGTGTCGCGTCAGGCCTCTATTTATTGGGGTCTGATTGGGCGTACTGTTGGTGCGTCGTGCTAGGCTTCTATTTATTGGGGTCTGATTGGGCGCAATGCTGGTGCATCGTGCCAAAACCCCATTTACTGGGGGTCTGATTGGGTGCCAGACCTTTATTTACTGGGATCTGATTGGGCGCACTGCTGGCGTGTCATGCCAGGACCCCATTTACTGGGGTCTGATTGGGTGCACTGTTGGCGCCCCACACCAGCCCTCTTGGCGCATATGGGGCACATCGCCCAAGCCTTTTTCCAAAACAATCCGACAAATTTTTTTCTATAGTTTTGGGGCCTAATTAACCTAGAATCGATTGGTTCCTAGTCGGCGGTGGATCTAGGATTTTAAGGTTGTGGGTGCTAGACACAGTGATGGATATAACCTTGACGTTATGGGTTCAACCAAAACCATATATATAAAAATAAAAACATTAATTCAAATTCATAATCTAAAAGTTACAAGGGTAAGTGCTCAGTTGCTATACAGTTTTAGTTGGGGAAGAAAATGGTTTAAACAATATCTTTTTCTCTTACTTTGTCTCAACAAATTAGATAAACAAATAAAAAAAGAAAAGTGAAAAACTAAACGGATAAGTCAGCCAAATAAGCGGAAAATCAACAAAGGAAGTACAAGAAGAAAAAAAGAAAGAGTCTGCACAGTAGAAAAGAAGAGAAAGTGAACAAGAATGAATAAATAAAGAAGAGCCTCAAGTTTTAAAACAGGTTATAACAGGGAATCAAACCACAACCACACTTATCAAAAACCTTACCTTCAACTTCCAACCAGAACACCCATTTGACATTTGGTTGAATGGGTGCAACTAGTTTTTCTCATTCGTTTATAAATTTCTATGAAATTATATATAGTTCGCGTCGGGGTTAATGGGTGGTCGAGCACCCAACACATTTTACATTGATCTGCCTCTGCCCCATAGTGAATGTCACAGCTTTTCCTTGCTCTTATCCTTTTCTTCTCTCCTATTGAAGCATTGTACTCTTGTCTAGCTTGTGTTTCGGTTGCAAATTTCTCTGCATAAAAAGTGTTGTGCATAAAAAGTGTTGTATAGCTCTCTTTGTTTTCATAATATAAGCTTTTGTGCTTCTCTATCTTCGACTCCGGTTCCTTTTGTTCTTGTTGAAACTGGGAAGTGGCCGCAACCGGAATATGATAATGTAAATATGGATGGCTCAAGGCATCCCCTACCTCTTGTGACAGTTTATCATCATTTGCAGCCTTTACATGCTACGCCTCTCACTTTCCTCCAGGCACTCTTTGGTCATCACTATCCTGTGAGTTGAAAAATATGTTGTGTATATGGGCTTCTTGACCATTTGTGATTGTCTATACAACTTTTAAAGTTTGTCTTTCTTCCTATCACAAAGGTTGGAGTATTGGATGAAGAAAAAATTCTGCCACTTGTAAAAGATATAGCCGATGTTGGAATTTGCAGCTCAAAAGATGGGATTTTGGAGATCAAATCATGCGAGGACTTACCCTATTTCTTGTAAGGAAGGTTTACAGAATAGTTCTCTTAATAAATTGATAAAGCATGACACTCTTCTTTCCATGGGACTTTATGATACTTCATTTCATTTGTCACTAGTTAAACAAGTTGTTCTACCAATGAGGTTAACTATTGCCATTCTCATATTCATTAATTTTTCCACCGAAATTCCGTCAGACCTCTCTGAGATAAATTGTATTTTTGTTGACTCTAAATATGAAGTAAGTCTCCTTATCTTATTGGTAAAATTGATTACTTGATATTCAACATGTCCTCTTAAAGTATGAATCTAATCATGTATAAAATATATATGAGTTGGGTCTGGAAGTAAGGTTAAGAGAGAGATTTCTTAGTAACCTACGAAGAAAAATGTTCTTCTGAATTATAATTAATGGTTCAAATGAGCAGTACACCCTTATTGTTGAAGAATACAACTTGACCTTACTCCAAAAAAATGGTTAAATGAAAAAAAGAAATGAAATTTTTTGAATCTGACCCCGCGTTAAAGAATATATTAAATGATTTCTTAAATACCTCATCTACATTTCTTATGAGCATCATTATTTGAGCCACAAGTTCTATTTAACAAAAACATAACAATCTCTTCTTCTCTTCACTTTTGGTTATAATTATCACAGGCTTTGCAATGTTACTGGGTCATATCATTGGTAGACTATATGACAAAACTAACATGAGTTGGTTCTTATGAGATGGTTTTAAAATGAAGTTTCCGAGATTTTGACATTTGCACTCAACCATGATAACAATGATTATAGTTTGTTTGTCAGTTCCATTGTCGTAGAATTACCATGGGTTTTGAAACATTTTTTGGTGGCACACTCATTTGTAGGTTTGAATAATAGAGTGCAAATCATGTCCGGGTGATGATCTGGATTCTGCTGATACACATGTTGATATGTACAATAAAGTATGGAAAAAGGCATAAATTCCCCCTTCAACTTGTCCCGAAAAGTCTGTTGCACGCTTAAACTATCATGACTACCTATTACACACTCATTCTTGTTAAAACTGTAACTAATACCACCTCAGAACTGACGTGGAAATTTAATTAAATTAAAAAATAAAATAGGCGCGTTAGAGTCGAAAATAAAGTCAAAAATAAATAAATTTTTGACCCCCCCCCCCCACTATTCT